TGAATGCATGAATTACGGCAGGGGGGCAGTGAGCTTTCTATCATCCACTGCCCAACGAAGACGGTGATAGAAATGCTGTGAAGCAATCTGGGACGCCAGATTGTGTACCTGCTATTCAAGATGGCGACCAGGCAAAGCCACAAACCTGGCATGTCGAGACATTATGCATTGAGTGTAGGAAGATTTGCAGTAAGGCACAAGGATTCAAAGCTCGGATTGGAGACCTGCACATGTGTGGGATTGATGGTGGGCGGGCAAGATTTTTTAAATATAAACCAGCGCAAAGGTCGAACAACATTCGCAGCTAAAGCTCAAACCCGGCAGTAGGATAGAGGTTGCCCATCCAATGTCGGAGCTCATCGGTCAACCGGTGCGCCAAGAGCTTACACGCGCAAAATTACGCCTTACATAGCATTTTGTGTTTGTGTGTGTGTGTGTGTGTGTGTGTGTGTGTGTGTGTGTGTGTGTTTGTGGTGTGCCACTGCGGTGCCGAGGTCTTGAAACACGTTCTGGGACGGTGTGCTGCGGCGTGCTGGCTGAGGTGCAGCTCCTGTACCTGACTTTGACAAATGTGGCTTTCGGGAGCCTTGTTTCAACATCTCGTTCGTCCGAGAGGCGCGGCAAATATGTTTCTACGTGCAATTGCTCAGGAACGACGATTGGGCCGACCCCATCGTGTTCCACAAGCCTGGGGTGTTTTCTATGCGCCCCAATGAGGCACGTTTCCGGAGCGAGATGCCTTTCCACCAGTTGGCTTCCCTGTTCCCAGGCTTCCCTCCAGATCAACGTGCAGGCGCTAACGGAAGCGCGCGGGCCCCGCGCTGCAGGGTGCTGCCATCGACGTGAGCGCAACTGCAGCAATCCAAGGAATCAAAGACTTGTGCAGGAAAATGCCATCCTCCGGCAAGGGACTTGACGGCTGTTTGTCGAGATTGAAAGATTGTGCTTGGCCGTTGGCTTTAAGTATGTGCTTGAACGTTGGTTTTAGGATTCTAGGCATGGTTAACGGACCGTCATTTGCGATTACCTGTTTGGTGCCGTTTTCGTGGAGGTGTCGCCGCAGGCGTGAAGCAACCCCCAAAAACCTGTGCCTGAAGATCCCTTAGCCGAAATCTGAAATTTACACCTACAATCAAGGACCCAAACCCACAGACCCCGCCATCCCGAAACCCTAAACGCCGCCCAGGTCTGAAAACGCATCGTTGTATGCTGCAGTCCAGGATCTCCAAGAAGCCTGGGGCCCGACCAAAGTTGCCGTGGTGTCTCCGGATTTGTGGCGCTCATGGGGTTGGGACTGGCGACACTCAGGCTCTGGCTTTAGGTTCCCAAGTTGCAGCGATCACGGTGTCCAAAGCAGATCAGCGATGTTCACAGTGTGGAGTTGGCCAAAAAGGCTTCGGGCTATTGCAAAACTCGCGGCGAGTTGTTGCATTAATCGTTCACGGTCACGCTTGAAAGCAATTCATGGCACGGTTGACAAGTTGCATGTTTTTTATCCGCCATATTTTTTAGCAACTCGGGACTCCGGGACGTTTGCAACCTGTGGAAAAATCATGGGCCACCCGCAGGCCATTGTGGTGCTGCAAATTACAAAGTGGAGATATTCTAGTCGAAGTGCGGCTCACGTTAACATGAGAACATCAGCCCGAGCATGAGCCAAACGGAATCGCGGTGGGGGGGACACTCCGGTGCTTGTGTAATCCGCAAGACTTTTGGCATGCAAGAGTGCTTCAGCGCACATCAGCCAAACAGCGATTGTGTGTTTTTATATTGCGGGGAGACACTTGGATATTTCTGAAGTGCGAGTTGAGGGACGCCGGGAAGCTCGCCCGCAAACTATATGTGGCTGGGAGGAGGGGACAGTGACAGCCGATTCCCCATCCAACACGCAGTACCTCGACGCATCCATCGCGCACTCTATGTTTCAGCCGGCGCGGCCTTAGGTCGTACATCAACTGTCGTCGCAGATGGGATAAGCGGGAATGGGGGCAATGGTTCAGAGTACTGCTCAGGTATATTGTTGATAGAGCCAGGTGCTCGACCAGATTCTGATGCAAGCATTCCATGCACCCCTGACATGGTTTGCCGTCATTTTTCCATCGGGGTGCAGCCGCAGCTGACTTTTTTTTTGCAGAGCTGAAGTTTTCGACCAAAAATGTGCTTTCACGCTGTTGCGCCAGGAAATGCGACTCCGAAGGATTCCGGAGGCAGCGAAGATGCAAAATGGTGTTGAGATGCGGTGTGTTGGGGCGTTTCAATGATTCTGTGAGGTCCGAAACGCTGAGCAGCTTGAGTCACTGGCGTGTGCATAGACCCGAACACCCCCCCGGCCCGCAAGGTAAAAGCAGAACCCGCCATAGTCGCATTGTCGCCATTCCTCAACCCTCCAGCCCCTTAACTCACAAGCCCCACCTCGAAACCCTAAAGAAACATGATAAAGGCAAGAAAGAATTTGCAACCCGCAGCCTTACAGCCGTAACAACATCCCTGGTAGTAGAGCCCGTAGAACCAAGAAACAGACGACGTGCCTGCGTCAGTCGTCGCGCCGGAAAATGCGCGTGCAGTCAAGGCCAGTATCGCCACAATGTCCATCCCAGACCTGTCAGCCATGGCAATCATTCCTTGCTTCCAAACTGGGCTACCTTGCTCCAGGTTTGCCATGCCGTAGACCAGCTTGCGGATTTTCATGATTAGGGTCAGTGCCATAGCCATTGCAGCGGACAGTAGTAGTCTGCAAGGGTAGCATGAAGTGCCTCAATGCTGGAGTTGGTGTTAGCTTCGTAGCTCGGGATGACACATACATGGTACATACCCCTTTCAACTGCGTCCGCGCGCTTCCGCCATGACGGGGCCGAGAGGCCGCGAGGATGCAGGCCCAAGATTTCACAAGCCACATATAGGCTTTGCGTTGCGCCATGTCGTAGTTGACGTGTCGATGTGCTGCTTGATGTCGTTCTGCAGGGTGAGTGCACATGAAGGGATCACGTTGTAAGTGATGCTGTGAACCCCTGCTGCGTTACCTCTGTAGAATGTGTCCTGGGATATGTTTTAATTTTAAGCGCTCCATTCAGGGTATTTCGCGGGTTGCCCCCCTCCCCCCGCCCTCCCCCCAATTTTAAAGGGACTTTCTTCGTTTTGCAATCATGTGTAATCACAAAATGCATACGCAGGTCGGGACACTTCATCTTACAGAGAACAGTGCCCTGTGTATCCCTTGTGGGATGTTCCAGGGACCGCTCAGGGACCCATTTTGGGAGGTAGGGGAATCGCATTTTAGTCTGTAGAATGGGGTCCCCAGGCTGCACCCGGAATCTGGAGGGGGGATGCACGTGACCAGAACGAAGGGGAAACGCAGAGACCCCATATCGCATCCCATACCCAAGAACAAATCCAGTCAGGCTGTGCAACAAAGCAGAGCGGTCGGTGGCGCGATGCCCACGATGCACAGGATGGAGGCAGGACCTGCGAAGCACGATGTAAAGTGTCTGGAGGCGAGTGCTACTGCGGGAAACTGATAGTACCCGTGAGCCCATCTCACTCTCAATTTGTTGGGTGCGATGTCCACAAACTCATGGTACCCATGAGCCCCTCGCTCGTGTAATTTCTTCGCGCGATGATGTCTATGCAGTTCCTGCAGGGTCAGAAAAGTCACGAGTCCAAGCTTTGATAGGCTCTTGGTTGGCAGCTGCCCGAACGCTACTTGGTGTGTAGCGTTCAGGAGACTGTGTGGGGACATGGTGTTACTATCTGAAATTCTGACTGCGCAATGAGGTTTTGGAATCAGCCGCTGCCTCCCGGACGAGTGCAACTTGTTGTCAAGTGGCTTTTCCTTGAGGAGTGGCTCCTGCCTGTCAAGGTTAGCAAACAGGCTTGATAGCGATGTTCCCATGAACAGGAGGCACTAACCTCGGATTCCAGCCCCACTTCTGCTGGGGAGTGCAGCTGCGACCTTCTGCGTGAGATGAACGACTCCAAGAGCGCTCTAGAGCCGTGCGCTTGCTTCGGAGCCTCCTCCAGGTGCTGAGCAGAGCATAGCAGAGCTGTGTTGCCAAGGTCGTTGCTTGCTGTCGAACGGCAGCGAGTGCTGGAGCTGGAGAAGCTACTCTCACTCTCTCACTCTCTCACCCTCTCACCCTCTCACTCTCTCACTCTCTCACTCTCTCACTCTCTCACTCTCTCACTCTCTCACTCTCTCAGTGAGAGAGTGAGAGAGTGAGAGAGTGAGAGAGTGAGAGAGTGAGAGAGTGAGAGGGTGAGAGAGTGAGAGAGTGAGAGAGAAAGCGAGTTCCCCCACCTTTTGCGCAGGCTTTCATGCAGCAACCTCTGGAGCAGCCGCCCGGTCGTTTTGGTTTCCAAGCGTGGCAAGCTCCTACGGCCCCGCCGTCCATTTATCCAGTCAAGGGAGATCAGAGGCCCGCAGAGCCAACCAGACCTCCCAGACAGGCGCCTTTCAACGCCGGCAATGCCGGCATGCAGCCACCTACCCTTCGCGTGCAACCGCAAATTCCGCGGGTTCCTCAAGTTGCTCAAGTTCCTCAGACCCCTGCGGTTACCAACCTGGCGATTTCGAAGATGAGCAAAGCCCAGGAGGAATAAATTTTCAATCAGGTCCTTACGTGCCAGCAGCTTGAGCTTTCGCAACAACTGGAATTACAGCTGCCAGGAATTGCAGCCGACGATGAACTGGATGAAGGGCTAACAGCCCTGGCTCAGTACATGTTCTTTCGACTGCATTATTTTCTTACTCCGCAGCCTGATCATTGGGCGATTCCCAAACATCAAGCTCTCCGCACAATCGCTGCTCGTCGTGCTTTTGTTCGCGCTGTTCAAAGACCTTTCGATTCGCTGCAAGAACCTGAAGTGGAAAGGTGTTGTAGATGTTTGTTCTCCAGATTTGACGAAGCACACAAGCCTCCTCCGCAATCCATGTAGCGTCCCTATGTGGATTTGCACATACTGGGTAGACAGGGGTTATACTTTTGACCCCCCATCCTGGGCAGGTGCAGTTTGCGATTTCTGTCCTTTTGCTGTTCAGCATTCAGCATTCTTTCAGTTGGCTTGTTTGGAGGACACAAACGCAAGGGAACGCTTGCTTTTGCAAGTGAAATCAGAAGGCCATGAAAAGAATGAGCTTTCATTTGTTTGGCAGACACAAACGCAAGGGCACGCTTGGATTTGCATGTTTGATCTGTGTAATCAGAAGGACGCCTAAAGCATGATGGTTTACTATTATCTGGAGGAAACTGCTGCGAGGGCACGTTTGGATTTACATGTATAATCAGAACCCGTCAAAAGCGTGATCGTTCGTTTGTTTGGCGGACACAGACGCAAGGGCATGCAAGGATTGCGTGTGTAGTCAGTGCAACCATGTGTAATTAGAATTGAAGGTCGTCTAAAGCGTGATGGTTTACTATTTTTTTTGGAGGAGACAACTGCAATGGCAAGGGCGCGCTTGGATTCATCAGAAGCCCGTGCAAAGCATGATCGTTCATTTGTTTGGCGGACACAAACGCAAAGGCACGCGTGGATTCACGTGTGTAATCAGAAGCCAGTCCAAAGCATAATCGTTTACTTCTTTGGTGGACGCAATTGCAAGGGCAGGTTTGGATTTGCGGGTGTAATCAGTGTAATCAGACGGCCGTCCAATGCATGATTGTTTACTTGTCTGGAGGACTGCAAAGGCAGGCTTGTATTTGCATGGAGAATCATAAGGTCGTCCAAAGCATGATCCTTTACGTGTCTGGTGGACACAATTGCAAATTAACGCAGGCTGGCATTTACATGGGTAATCACAAACGCAACGTACATGTTTAATCCGAAGCCCGTTGGAAGCATGAACGTTGCCGTTCGTATTGTGAAGCGCTTCAGAATGCTCATCTTGCGTGATTTTGGAACTGCTGTGTCATCGCAGACATGGTTTTGGACGAAGACCTTGAATTTGGGTCAAGTTGTTTTGGCTTCGCTCCAATCGACAAGCGATTGTGCCAGACGTGCAAAGAGGGCGAAGGAAAGGGAAAGGGCAGGGGAAGGGTCTTGGTTTTGGGGGTTGGGGGTATCGTTCCCCCTATCGTACCCCTATCGTTCAGGGGTATCGTCGTTCGGGTCCGGAAAAAACGTCCGGCTGCAGACCTTTGTGTGAACTGCCTGTTGAGGCTCCGGATGCGATTTTTTTGATGTATGCTGGAGCCCCTTTGTTTTTGTAATATCGCGAAATGCCTTAGACTGCACTGAGTTAGTTTGCTTGCCTTGCGAATGATTTTGCACATGTTGTGTCGTTCTCACGGCCCCAGTGCCGAAATCTTTTGTTTCAAGGTTTTTCATGTGTCCCAAATGTTTTGATGATTGTTTTGTTACATTACGGAAACCCATTGTTTTCAGGTACGTTTCATATGCCCGTCATGTTGATTATCTTTATCATACACAAACGGCGTCCGCCATGGAGCGTCGCGCCTCAAAATGACTGTGTTCCGTTGGCATCGCTCTTCAAAGTGAGGTCATTTTGCAAAATATTGAGTGACTACTAATCCCGTCCTCCTGTTAACAAGTCCCTTACAGGCGCTTGCTTAAGTCATGTAAGATTTGAAAGTAGCCGTTCCTTTGCTTCAATTCCATGCTGTTTGACATCTGTTTGGATTTTTTGTCGGGACATGTTCGGTGCAAGTGTTGCAGTGCCATGGTGTATCGTTTTGGACGCACAGATCTAGCTAGCCCATGTATGTCAACGAATGCTGCGGTGCCATCGTATTTCGCTTTGGCAACGCAGACTGAGCTAGTCAACGTATGTTAATCAATGGTGCGGTGCCATGGTGTTTTGCTTGTCCTTGGCAGACCTATCTAAGCAACGCATGTCAATTAACGCTACGGCAGACCTATCTAGTCAGCGAACGTCAATCAATGCTGCAGGGCTATGGCTTCGCATAGGCAGACCTCGCTAGTCGATGAATGTCAATCAGCGCCGTGGGCAGCAACCGGTTTGCCCCAGCGTGAAGGGGGAAAAGGATTATGTAGCGTGTGCCCATGCGGGTGTACTTGAGAGCTGCATAATATGAGTGCATACATACAAATGACGTCCCCATGGGGTTTCGCACCTCAAAGTGGCTATATGTTGTTAGCGTTCGTGCTTCGACGTGGCATGTAGCAGCAATGTAGCGCGTACCCATGCGGGCTTACAGTTGTTGATGGGACTTCTTTGGGCAGGAATCGTGCATTGTCTATTTTGTGAACCCAAGCGTCAGCGTCATGCTGCGATGCGGGGTCATTTAAACGATTTTGCAAGAGGGTGACTACGTGGCACGCGCGCCCATGCGGGGGTTTACAAATTGTATGATGATAATGATGTGTGTTTTGCGATTGGCCTTGCGGTGTGACTACGTCCCGCGTGCCCATGTGGGTTTGCAGGTTTGGAGGGAATTTCTTATGTCGCAGAGCGTGTTTTATTTGCCAAATCCACAGCGACACGCTTCGATGTAGGGTCATTTTGTGGCTTACATGAGAGCTGTTGGGTTCTGTCCAGCAAGGGAAACACCACCTGGACGCGCTATTAGCGAGAGCTGTTGGGTCTTGTCCAGCAAGGGAACACCGCGGGGACATGGTTTCGTGAGAGCCGCTGGGTCTTGTCCAGCAAGGGAAACACCACCAGGACGCGGCATTTACAATGCCTGCAACACATTTTTGGGGACCTCCTTGGCGAACGCGTCCTATGTAGAACGGACAAATTGCAAGGACTTTGCCAGGACCCGGTCGTGGCAGCGTCCTGGTGCGGGTTGCTAACAAAACCAACAAATGCAAGGACTTTCGGCTTTGACTGTAGCAGTAGTAGCGGTGGGAGCGTTAACAGTAGCAGCAGTGTAGCAGTAGTAGCAGTCGTAGTAGTGGCAACACGTAGCAGTAGTAGCAGTAGTAGCAGCGGCAGCAGTCGCAGCAGTAGCAGAAATAGCAGCAGTGGCAGCAGCAGTACTAGCAGAAATAGCAGTAGTACAGCAGTACAGTAGTAGCAGCAGTAGCAGCAGCAGTAGCAGCAGTAGTAACAGTAGTAGTAGCAGCAGCAGTGGAAGAAGTAGTCGTAGTAGTGGTGGGAGTACCAGCAGGAGCAGCAATAGCAGCAGTAGCAGCAATACCAGCAATACCAGCAGTATTGGCAGTACTAGCACTAGCAGTACTAGCAGCAGCAGGAGCAGCCGGAGCTGTAGCAGTAGCAGTAGCAATAATAAAAACAAAAGCAAGCGCAGTGATAGCAGCGTTCCATGCAGATAGCTCGATATCCGTTGCATAATCTGCTGCTTCATTCTTACAACAAGCCAAAGATGACATGTGCTGCGTTCCATGTTGGAAGATACAACAAATGATTGGTGAAAGTTTTAGAAAAGGCATTGATGTGACTAGCGTTCCATTGGCGTTCGCGGAATGTGTGACCATGGCAAATAGCTTTTGCGTCGAGTTGTGCAGCGTTGCCATGGGCCGAAAATATTGATGTGACTTTTTTGTGTTGTTGATGGGCGGCGTTCCATGCAGGAAGGGCACGTGGGCAAAATGTTGAGGTGACTTCGACGGCCGGCTGTAGCTCCTATCCCCTGCAGAGGCTGCGCGCGCGATTCGTTTTCCATCAGCCGGCAAAGTTGGGTTCACTGTTGTTCAGCTACACAGCCAAGACGTGACAAAGTGGAACTTGCCTACTATACAAGGCTAATCGAATAGTGGCAAACCGTGCTTTGCACTATTTCGTACATGCATTCTCTCCTAACTTTGAGTCAGGGGCGGCACGGAAACACAGTTGCAGTCTGTACCTGAAACCTTCTGCCTTATGTGCCGTGCTGCATGCCTGGAGAAGTACATTTTAGCATTTTCAGAAACACAGCATGACCTTCGTACATACGTGTGATATGTTTATGATATGCATATCCTTCTATATGCATGTATGAAGGCCTCTGATAAGAATCATAGCAATTCATGTCTGCTTGTTTGTATGTTTCGGTCCATATTTGCATGTACTTTTGCATGTTGCATGTACGTATGTACGCATGTATGCATGTAGGTATGTGTGCATGCATGCATGCATGAACATAGTACATGTGCTACTACTGCTGCTAGTACGGATGCTGTGACCAAGGACGCATGGAAGCGCGGCGCCCTACTGTCGCTGCATCGGATAGAAGATGTTTTTCTTTGTTTGGTGACCGTGATCTAGGACTAACAGACTTCAAGGAGATGGAGAGGGCGAGAGGGAAGGAGGGAGAGAGAGAGAGAGAGAGAGAGAGAGAGAGAGAGAGAGAGAGAGAGAGAGAGAGTGAGTGAGTGAGTGAGTGAGTGAGTGAGTGCGAGTGAGGGTGAGAGGCAGAGTGAGAGTGAGGCAGGAAATGAGTGAGTGAGAGCGCCCGACCAGAGACACCGGCGCGACAAAGATGGCTTCCTCGGAACTAAGGGATAAAAAGGTGTTCTGCTTGACCGATGTGCCCTACATCGACGTGGAGGCTCTCGGGTCGCTGATGGCCAAGATCTTCCTGGATAGCATTGACCAGATAGTCGGACACGTTGTCGTCATCGAGAGTGAGGCGCGGTTTCGATATCAGTACCTGCGGCGGAGTTTTACATCATTGCAGAGCTTTTGAGGTTCTAAGGTTAAGTGGGCCACATGGGGTAATGTCTGGTGGGTCATCCCAGCAATATTTTATAGAATTCTTGAGAGTTCGGATTAGTGAGTGGCAGGACAGTCTCCAACAGTTTGTGATTTCTCAGAGAGCGGTATTTGTGATCAATTGTGAGAATTGAAGTGCCTCTGGAGGCATTTGAGGTTCAGGTGTGGCGCAGCCAGGGCCTTGACTCCTAGACCAAACATGGTCGGCGAAGATTCTCCTTTTTGTTGCCACCTCAGGACAGCAACGAAACAGTCTCTCTAAAATAGCTCTCTAAATTCTTTCTATTTTTTCACTAAAATCCTTTGCCTTGGTTGTGGGCTCCTTTTGGGGGGCGACTCCCTCGGGTTCGGGGCTCAGGGTTTAGGGAAGCATCGCCCCTCACTGCGCAGTGTCATGCTGTGCTCACATTGCAAAGGGCTTGACCGGGAATGCGGACAGCACGGGAGAAAGATAAACATATAACTATTGACGATGTTAGTGAGTTTTTCAAGAAGAACGTGGAGGCAAAAAGACAACCTGCAGGACAGAACAGCTTTGTAGCACCACATTCGGCATACGAGTATCAAATGGAATTGTTTTTTATTAAGGACATGAGTTGGTACAACCTGTGCCCTTCTTTGGGCAGTAGAACCACCAACATACCAACCAGTCAAAAGTTCCGCTGCCAGCTGCCATTAGCCTTGTTCAAGCTTCTGTTGTCAAGAAGCATGGTCGTAGCCGCAGCCGTCATGTTAGCCGTCATGGCTCTGGCGGTGTGCGTGTGGGCCCCGGATAAGATAATTCGCAAGTGTTTGGCGCTGCCATTTCGTCAAGTGGCCACTGAGGCCCTCGTTGCGAAGTGCGGGAAGAGCGCGGAGACATGTGAGACCCCGACAATATCCCCGACATGCAGCAACAAGGACTCAGATAGGCCTACACGGCATACATTCAGGATGGAAGGCTCCGCTAAAATGTCAGAATGCCACCAGGACCCTACTTCCGACAACGCCGACAAGCAAGCGAGGTTGCTTTTGCGTCGCCAGAATCGAAAGGCAGACGACGTGTGGCCTGAACACATTCATTTGCATGGGCTGCACGCATTCTGGCAGGCGCGGGCCATGTACAGAGCTGGCGAAGACGATGCCAACTTCCGGAAGGTTTGAGCCTGAGCTGAGGGAAGCCTTTCAAGTTTACAGCGCACGCGTGCGAGCGACAATACGAGGCTCTGATAGGTACGATCAGCAGGGGGGATGGGTCGAAACGTTGTTGCCTCTTGGTCTGCTCAGGTGTACGATTTGTTCCCACGTCTCGGTCGGAGTCGGTGGTTTGGTGGGTTGGATTTACCACTTTTCGTACGAGTCCCCTGTCCTCACAGCGCTCAGGCCAGGGACTCCCTCAGCAGATCGCTGTCTAAAGGACACAGGCGACGATGACTGAAGAGGGGCATTGCTGTGTCAGCTCAATCCGTGCTTTTGATTAAGTGGTCCGCCCTGGAAGAATAAGCGCTTGGTTCCTAATCTGGGGGCTTCTGGTTCGGAAGGGCGAAGTAAATTGAATTCCATCAAAATGGTCAGAATCTGACTGAACTCGGACGAACACTCGATTAGAGTCCAATTACAAGCGATGAATTCTTCAATTCTTCTTAGGGCACCCCAAAAATTTGCTTTTAATGTGGATGGTTTTTACTTAGGAGCTAGCCTCTGCCTTTGAAATCCACTTGCTTCTAATCTACTTTCAATGAGCTGTTCATTGGCTGCATGGTTTTGGGCCCCAAGCCTTGTGCTTTGCTTGCGGGGGGGCGGGATTTACTAATCAAGAGCTCGGATTACCACGATGGCCCAACGGCTAATTGCAATGTGTGTCGGGTGGGTGGACGTGTGAAACATCCAAGCGTTAACCCACAGTGTCGTCCAAGCCGCGTTCATGGTCCGATGGCAAGCCGGGCCGGAGCAAGCAGTGGCTCAGTGGCTGTCCTACCCGGAGCCACAGTCTGGACAAAAAGTTCGCATGTCTGCGTCAAGCGTTGCAAATGTCTCTGAGCAGGTGAGCCGTGCATGCCAAGATTCAGGAAGTCTGATGCCCCCTTCGCATCCTGGTAGATCAAAACCAACGCAAAGCAAATTGTGGCACAATTATCGCTCACACATCACATCGAGCGCAAGACTACCAGAGAAGTCTATGAGATGGGACAAGCGATTTTGTTGAATCGGCAAGATCGCATCCTTTGCAACTCCGGTGCTGCTTGCTGCGCTGAGATCATAAACAAGGTTCATCGGAAGAGTACTCATCAGTAAGCTTGATTCGTGCTGGCAACGTTGACAGTAGCAGTCATTGCAATGCGCCGCGGGCGGTCCCGGTCGCCCGAGGCAGCGTGCTGAGGCTGAGATCTCTGGATTCTCTCAAAATTCTCACTAATTTCTCATTAAATTCTCTCTAAATTCTTTTCCAATTCTCTCTAAATTCTCTCTAAATTCTCTTTAATTCCATAGGGAGTAGCTAGAATTCCAGAAAAACAATCTCGGGCCGGACATTCCGCAAAATTGAGAGAGGATTGCAAGATGTTTGAAAGAAAATTGAGAAAACACAGAGAGATACGCCGTCATCCCAGGCCTTCACCCCCCCACTGACAGGCACGACAGCTCAAACTTTCCAGAGACTTCTTGGCCACACAGGCCGGGAGATGCCGGGAGCTGAAGCAGATGTTGCAGCCCATGCTGTTTTTGCGACCAGTCGGACATGTGAGAGGTGATGAAGAAGCAGCTTCAACTCGACAGAGATGCGATTCAAGGCCAGTCTCTGTGAGGGAGACCTAGAAGGACAGAAGGATAGAGTCAGATCAGGAAGCTTGATGATGTTCAGGTCCCGATGAGTTGTGCCAGATGGCGGCCAACCACATGCTGAAAGAATCGGGCGAGATGAAGCACGTGGCACGCGGCTTGATGGAGCTACAAGCCGTGCAATCCTACAGCGCTGGCGGCTATTTCCCAGTCAACGAATTGCTGAGGGCCCCGTTCTCGGAGCACCTCGAGGAGCCCTTGGCAGGTGACACAGGAGGGAAATCATAGGTTGTCTAATGTCCTCTAATGACAGCTTCTGATGGTAATGAGATGTTCTCGCAACGAAACGAATTAGATAAAGAACAAAAGGGCCTCCAGCGCCCCCATTGAAATTTGAATGAAACGATTGATGAGCCGAGGGTGCAGCCCTTGCTTCATCAGGCTCATTGGTCAACAGATTTGTCTACTGGCCTCCCGCGAGGTAAGCATGCTGTTCATCACTCACCGTGCACATCCACAAAAGTTGGCGACACATGCTCGGTAATTGTCAAGAATCTGGTTTACCGACGGTCGGGCTTAGGCGGGTTTGGAGTCGGGCTTGGGATGGCTTGGCGGACTGCCGGAGCATGAGCAGGCCAGTACTATGGACGAATCCTGGCACCGCTGGGGCTGAATCGCCGAAACTTGAAGGGAGACTTGGGTTGGCGACTCCACGGGTTATTGCATACAGCTCTGGCAAGGCCTGGTGGCTTAACTGGTGGCAATGTTCTCACTTGTTCTTCCTTCGTGTTGTTTCTGACACAGCGCAGAACCATTCGTCGCCCATTTTTCGTCGCCCGTCCACAGGCATGCGACGACAAACTCCCCAGTTCTCTACCACGCGCTGGACGTTGACTGGCTGGATGAGGGGCTGAACGTAGAGCATGGCTACCTGTCCACCACGGACGATCCGACCAAGCTCAAGCGACAGCCTGTGGTGTGGGTTTCATGGCTGACATGGCAAAGATGAGTTTTTCTGTTGTTGGGGCTACCGTTGATGTTGATAATTTCATGATGGGTGATAATTATGCATTCCTCTTTTTCAGCTTAGCATCCTGCAGTCGAAGAGTTCCATGCTATTCGACATTCCCAATGGCCTGAATCTGTCAGCAACAGCGTCCAAATCAAAAGCCAGTACGAATCAGCAGATACTGAAAGTTAGATTGCGACCGCATGGGGGGGGGGGGGGGGAAAATTAAGGCTGCTCGCCCCACTTGCTCCGCTCCACTCGCCCCCCTTGCCCCACTTGCCCCACTGGCCCTGCTGGCCCCGCTGGCTTCACTCGCTCTAGCCCCCCACTCACAGCACACAGGCCAAACAAATGAGACGAAAGCGCCTACGGGTGCAGGATTTTTTTGGTTTGCTGCCGCCCATACCCTTCATTCTGGCATCACCTTGTGCTGTCATTTCTCATTGACGCGTGTTTGTGTCTACCTGCTTGTATCCAAGGAGTTGAAATTTGTGGCCAGTTTGTTTTGGGCTTGTCTGTCTTGCTTTTCTTTCTTTTATCCTCACGTGTGTTCTTGCAAGCCGGTGCTAAACCCCCAAAATAGTGTTTTGTCATTTGTTCGCTGTTGGCATTTCCCATTTGTCTGCGCTTCGCAACGTGTTAAGCTCGAAATGCTTGCATCCACAGACCCATGTGCGAAGTCTTTCGCAGATGATAGCATGGCGCAAGAGAATCGGAAGAGAACCCGAAACCTTGAGAGAATATCCTGTTTGAAAAGGCTGGACGGGGTTGGTTTTGGTTGGTTTCCCTTGGGCAACTTGAGTGCGGGCCAGGGCGCTTCACACCCCAGTGCGCGCTCTCACTAAACCCTAAGTCTTAAATCCCACTATCCAACCAGCCCAAATCTCCAAGCTGAATGCCGAAGTATCCTAGAAGTTAACTGCTGTTCCGCAGCATTCTTGTCGCATCCTTGGTGCATCCTTGCTTGATTGCTTTTCTCATCCGTCAATCAGAAGGGGAGGCGGTCTTCATTTCTGAGGTGGCCCGGGGAACGCGAAGTCATCGTGGGCCCCCCGCCCTTCATGATTCAGCGACTCGAATGCGTGGAAAAGGAGAGCATGCCCAAACCTCAGCAATTTGTGTTTCAACTGTTCTTGGCCGTTCTTTGCTGGCCTGCTCAGGCCAGAGAGCGTGTTCTTCGACTTTTTGCGCGAAGCCCTTCCCGGGGCGAGCCATTGCCATGATCAAATTGAGAAGCTTGTCATCGTGACCACAATGTCATGCGTCCCCCGAACTCACAAGAAGATGGACTTCCTCGAGGCTTTCTCTGGATTCCTCGAGGCTTTCTCTGGATTGCGACAGGGGGCTTGCTTTGTTTGGGGGAGCTGTGTGCTTACGCGCTTTGCTGTCCTGGTGCTCGTATTATTTGTAGTCTCCTGAAGATTCTTTCTTTGCGCTTGATTGCTGATTATTTCAGTGTTATTGCAGCCGAAATATAGCAGTGTTAGTCGTGCTACAGCACAGCAGGCGCCGGACGCGGTCCTCCGCGACCCCCGCCCGCCAGCGCGGCGACCAGGCCGACAATACCGGGTGCTCTGCGAGGACCCTTGCTTCGACCGCTTGGCGCCTTGGCAGACGTTTGACTGCATCACGTCCCGGCACGTAGGCAGTTGTTGGAATCTGTTGGAAGAACCATTCGGTCTTGAAATGTCTTGAAGAGGCGCTGGTGGCATGGACCCGATGAGAGACCCTGACCATCAGGACATGCTTACGTGTTGTTGCGCCCCTTGTTTGCATAGCCCTGCGTGATCCGATTGTGCTACCCACGCTTCAAAGAGAAGCAGCGCCAGCTGACTGGAAATGAACAAAAAACTGTAGCAACTGTATCAAGCTGTGTGAGAGCATGTCTTAGGAGAGAGAGAGAGAGAGAGAGAGAGAGAGAGAGAGAGAGAGAGAGAGAGAGAGAGAGAGAGAGAGAGAGAGAGAGAGAGAGAGAGAGAGAGAGAGCCGCGAGTGACCCAGCGAAGCTCGCATGTCCCGAGAGAGAGAGTCAGTCCCTCATTGTTGCGCAAAGTTTGCTCCATGTTTGCTTGGTGCATATGATATTGCAGTCGAAGCTCCATTACGAGAATCATTTCGTTCAAGATGCACACTGGTTTGTACACCATAAGCAAAATGCTTGTGTGTACACCTTTCCTGTGCAGCATTTCCCGGACCTTTCTGCATCGAGGTGGTACCTATGGGGCCACGGCACAGATTACACGGGTGGTACAGACATTCTTGCGTGTGGACGGATTTTGCCCACGGATGTCAAAGTAGCAGGAGTTCCCAATGGGGAAGACTCGTTCAGTTTTTATGGGCGAGCTACAGATAAGCCAGAGTGGCAAGAAGGCGTGCAAGAATTTGTCGCCCAACTCCACCACAGCACTAAGAACAGTTGTGGTATCATGTTTGGCGGTTATTTATCGTGCAATCACACGAAAAGCAAGACCGCCTCCGCAAGCCATGAGAATCATCTGGCCAAGTTTCACCCACTCATTCTCAGCCCAGCGTCGGATAAACAAGGGGCGTGAGATGTGTTGCGGCCAGAATCGATGTTATCTGGATGTTAGTGCAAAAGCCTCTGCAGATTTCCCACATGCCGCACAGTCTCTCACTGAAGCTGTCAAACAGCGAAACAAAATGAAGAGGCTTCAAAATTCCCCCCCAGAACTGCTAGCCATTGATGATGATGCCAACTGGGGTAAATGGCATGCAGAGGATTCCCAGGGGCTGAGCTCCGCTTCTCACACAGGTGTCACTGAAACGCCTGATGAAATCCGAGGGGCGCCTGAAGACATTGAAGAGTCACCTGACTTAATGGCGACCTTCGCGGATTTTCGTTGACTTGATTTCCCTTTTCTGGGATCTCACTCGATACAGAATTCGTTCCTCAGTTGCACGCACTTCCAGAGTCACTGCAACAAACAAGTTGATGCATTCTGATACGGTTTTTCCGTTTCCTTCGATGCCTTCTTGGCTATCTGTGTGTGTCAACTTCTGTTTTCAAAGAGTCTCTGAGAAGTTTCATCTCGCAGGGGGATGAGGGTCCCTTGGTGTGCCTCATCTAACAAAGACCGCACCAAGTGGATGTGATATCAGTGCCCGGCCAGCACTGACGTACCTGCAATCAGTTTCACACATTTCCACGTCGGCCTGATTCGCTCAGGTTTGACTTGATTCAGACCTCTGAACGCAGAAACATGATAGGGATAACAGAGGGAGGATTCCATGAGTGTGTGTCTGTCTGTCTGGGTGTGTGTGTGTGTGTGGGTGTGTGGGTGTGTGTGTGGGTGTGTGGGTGTGTGGGTGTGTGGGGATGTGTGGGTGTGTGTGTATGTGTGGGTGTGTGTGTGTGTGGGTGTGTGTGGGTGTGTGGGGGTGTGTGGGGGTGTGTGGGGGTGTGTGGGTGTGTGTGGGTGTGTGGGTGTGTGGGTGTGTG